TGTTGACTTAGAATATGCCGATGACATAGTTCTATTTAGTGAAGACGCTGACAAAATGCAGAGTCTGCTGACCACTCTAAGCAACAATGGAGGCATGTTCGGCATGCGATTTTCTCCCTCGAAATGCAAAATGTTGCTTCAGGATTAGGTTGCGTCGAAACCGTAACTAGTGATAGGGAGTGAAGTAGTTGAGCGTGTCAACCGCTTCACTTATCTTGGAAGTCTCATCAGCCCTTGTGGTTTGGTGTGTGACGAAATCTCAGCACGGATACAGAAGGCTCGACTAGCTTTTGCCAACTTGCGTCATTTGTTGTGTAGGCGAGATATCAGTCTATCAACCAAAGGACGTGTTTACTGCGCAGCAGTTCGTTCCGTCCTAATTTATGGCAGTGAAACATGGCCAGTAAGAGTAGAGGATATTCGTAGGTTACTAGTATTTGACCATAGGTATCTTCGAAACATCACTCGTATATCCTGGGACCACCGAGTAAGCAACTCAGTTGTTAGGAAACGGGTACTAGGTAAGAATGGCAAATCAATTGATGAAGTAGTGAAACTTAATCAGTTGAGATGGCTGGGACATGTGTTGCACATGCCCGACCACCGACTGCCACGACGTGCTATGTTTCCTGGTGCAGGAGTAGGTTGGAAGAAAGCTAGGGGCGGCCAGACCAAAACATGGCACAAATCCATGAAGTCACCCACAATTGGACTGAGCCATGTTGGTAGGTATAGACTACTTGGTTGGGGACCACGAGATAATAGCAACCGATGGTTAGAGACCTTGAGTGACATGGCACAAAATCGTTTGCCATGACGCCGGTGCATCCACTCTTTGTGTTCTCTGAAACTCTAATCTTCTGTATTCTTCATGTTCTCTATTCCACTGGACTATACTCCTTTAATAGCATCAAACCCTAATGTTCCCTATCACTACCTCTTCCACTACGGGATTCGAATCGATAACTGAATCTCTGTGCTAATGTGGTATGGCAACTCGAACTGATGTACGTACGTACGAAGTTCCACGTTTTTACTGACTGACTGACTTATGTCTATCAACATAAGTAGCATACACCACAGTAGAACTGAATGATGTACACTTCAGCTCTCAAGCATCCTTCTTCAACCGATTAATTAGCTGTTGATCTTTATAGGCTGATGATTGTTTTTAATAGATTTTATTGTTTTGCACTTTTCAACAATGCACCCTTCGAGTATGTGAAGAAACATATAACGATTACGAATTTTGTGACTGAGAAATACTAATTAATTCAGTAGTTTAAAGCTTGAGGATTAATCTATTCCATTTTATCTGTTTACAAATATGACAACCTGGATAGTATCATTTACGTTAGTAGGTTTGCAAAGTGATTACTCAGTCCAAGCTTAGTTTTCATCAAAAAACTGATATCAACTGAAGCACCGCCAAATATCGTGAAACAACAGACACTTGTCCTGTCTTAATTTAGAACAACTCAAGAGTGAGAACTTACAACCGATCCAGACGTCGAGAACAGAACATTCAATTGTAATTAATTAATAAAAAGCAACTTGATTCTTCCCTTATTACTAGTTATCTGACAATAGAAAAATCGAACTCCACCAATACAACATAACACAATAAATCAGTAGTATTCAAAGTATTTTTATAGTTAAATTTTTATTTCAATATAATTAATTAATAATACAATAACAAGAATTTCGACCATAATAACAATGTTAAAGAAAAGAGAGATAACTTAGAAAAATGTGAAGATCCATGCATACATACACACATGAAGAGTGAATGAGCATTATAAATTTGAGACTGTAAGAAACTAATCATTGTTACATTTCATATAAATAATAATAATAATATAAATGGGTAATATAGATGAAATATGCGAAAAATAACAGTGTACTCAACAATATTTACTTTAAACTCACAAATCATATCTCGGGATAAAATTGTTAAACTGAAGAACCCAGTAAACCGGGTGAAAAATTCATAAGTTTAATATACTAATAACAATATTAAACATAACAATTGATGACAAACAGAACCAGTAAGCAAATCAAAACAAAACACCAGCAGACAAACAATTTAAAGACTCAATGAGAATGAAAACAAGATTTCTTGATAGCACAAATGTTTAAAATAAAAGTGTAAACGAAATGTGCATCTGAAACACGGTGAGCAACTGTGATTGAAAGATTGAAGAAACAACAACATTAAGTGAAGATATCAAGAACGACAGCAACAACGAAACAAAACCGAAAAGAGGACAGTCAGTCAAAACTAGAAGAGGAAATCGAATAAATAAATTGGAATAAGAACGCCAACAGTTACAAATATGACCTACGAACGCCCGAATGCAGACTACGAACATTTGTGATGATGTTCACGAATGGTAATTATAATAACGAGATTAGTAGTAGTACTTACACTATAAGTAATCAAGAAAAATATGTATTTTTTGTCTTGTATATGTATGTATAGTAAATCAACTGATATAAAAATAGCTGAGTAGCGTGACTGAAACAGATGAAAAATCCATAGAAAAAAAACGAGACCAAAACGAAAGAAACCGCGCACGTAATCGGTGTTAATTAATAAAGAATAAATAGGCAGTGACGGCTAAAAATAAAAATTGGCTTAAATTTATTGGTATAAAAAACCAAACAAAACAAAAAAATAACCAAACGAAAAAACTGGTTATTGCACATAAGTGAGAAATTTGACAGATAGATTATTAAGGTAGATCAATAAATTGAAAACCTCTTAATTAGTATCTTTAGATAAATAGGAGTAACAAAGGTTAAAATATAGAAGGTACAACATTGGCTTAAATAGGTCTTCTGCACTCCAAGCATAGGTACTCATATATGCATGTAGTAACTGAACACTAACACAAGAAGCTGTTTAAAAGTTGGCACATACCTCAATCTGATTATTGAATGAGCTATAGTTAGATGGAAATGATGAAAATTGTTTCATAATTATCAAATTACAATAAAATATATTAACAAAAGAGGAAATCACATTTCACACTGAAAAACAAAGTTGAACAGTAGAACTAAACAAAAGACTAACATCTACACAGAAGAATGAAAAGAAAGGAACCACAACACAAAATAAATAACATCCTAAAGGAAAGCCATAAGATAGAGAGAGGGACACCCAAAAAATACAGATCCATGGAAATATCTAGCATACGTTCTTGTTTTATTTTAAAGTAACAAAACGAAGCAAAAAAACGATAAAAATTCGGACTACATTTAGACAGTTATTTTCTGTTTATATATAAAACCTTGTTTGTATGAATGTAGATAATACAAAGGGTAAATAATCGGCTATATATATATATATATATAAACAAATGAGAAATCTAATAAAATATTTTGATAAATAACAGTAGTAAAAAGATGCAACAAATAAAAACACTATGAAAATATTTATTTTGTCAGATATATGTTTTATGGCCAAACAGCAACAATGATTTTTTTGTTAAATTCTTTTTATTGAATATATTAATGTGAAAAATCAATTTTTTCTTCACTTGCTGTTCGAATAATTCGTTTTCTTTCCAAAAAAAAGTAAACAACATACCAGAAAATGAGTAACAATATGTATAATAACCAGAACTGAAAGAATTTTCTGTCCTATAAAAGCATTTTTATTTTGTTTCCAGAGATATAAAAAAACTCAATCTGATGTCAGCTGTGATATCGAATTCAGTATAAATGATTAGGATTGTTTTAAGCATCATACATAAATATTATCGATATAAAGAAAAGAAGAACAGAGTACACTTTAATCTAACTGGGAAAACGAACTGAAATAAAAAATGTAAACAAGAGAAATGTTCTTTTTGCAGTAATTAGTAGTAAGTACTTTTATATGGGATAGTAGATACCATGAAATTTCAATAAGAAAATTTACTTTGAGGTGATAGAGGAAGCACCATAAAACTAATGACTAAGATTTATAACCGAATTGTCATCTAACAAACGAAATCATTGAAAATAAAGAAAACTACAGAATAGAAAGAGAAAAGAACGTAAGACAAATAACTGGATTTTATTTTGAAAAGGTAACCAATAAATTATTTTTAAAAAAAACGAACATAAGTACGCACAAGAGCCGAGATCAGTAGAAACGCAAGTTACAGAATGCCTTTGAAGCATCAGTTACAACAAACTTTTACGAGCAAACTATTTGATTGAGCAGATGAAATAGATAAGCAAAAAAAGGTATGAATGAAAAACGTTTCAAAACACATACATTCTAACTCTCCACTTATTTGCCACACTTCACTTTAACAAAACATCACAATCTGGAAGCGCCCTGAATATGGCTTGTGCGTGGAAAGTGAACCATCACAGAATACTATTATTATTATTAAGTAAACGAATTAATGCATCAAGTGGATAGTAATGAAAATTATCTGAAGCATGAATGCATCACGAGCCAGCGCAATAATTTAAAAAATTACAAACATGCACGTTTACAAAATAAACCACGACTTGAAAACAAGGAGAGAAGTATGAAAATCTGCGACTTAAAACAAAGAGATATACTAATTCATACAGATAGTATAGGCATAAGTACACGACACAAAAGAGATGAATGAAAGTTGTCGGTGTAACATACATGAAATCCTCATAGTTCGCGCGTTTCATCACTGTGTTATTCAATGATATAAATAGTGGAAATGCATTGTCAATTACGTTCGAATGTATACATTTACCGTATACGTAGAAATGTACTCACCAGATTGAGAATTAAAAATATAAACATACTGATTCTGCATGACATGATATTTTAAGAAGCAATGTTGAATTGTTAAAATCCATAAAAAAGGGTTTGTTTGCTTATTTGTTGCATAACGTATAAGATGGAGAACAAAAACATAAAAACAATATTGCGTGAACGTACTACCATAACTACAATATATTAAATAACAACATGAAAGAATGTAAGAAAATATATGATTTTTTTTTGTCTTATTTTTGTTGGGTTTTTGTAAAAAGTGTTACATTGAAAAATAAATAAACAAAGGAAAATACCAAACAACAAAATAACATTACAAAAATAAAAAGTACCCCACATATACACCCCCCCAGGGCTCGAAACATTTTCACCCAGTGTTTAAACACAAAAACAAAGGAAAGAAAAAGGTAGTGACAATTACCAAGTAGAAAGATACCAAGGAAACATGATAGTTTGGCGGGGAGTATATGATAGAGGCTACACCATTAGAGGAAACTTCAGATTCATAACAGAAACTAGAAAACGTTTTCTTCAGTTTATGTATATAAGACATTGTCAACAGAAGAAATTGAGTAATAATAGTAAAAATCAGTTAACAAAAAAGTTTTGGAAGTGAGTAAACCATATTACTTTCAATCGCTTGCATCCTACCACTTAGGATAGATATACAAGACACATACTACCGAATTGATGCATAAAAGTAGATGTTATATCTATCTTTGGTATGTAAAGCAATGTGCTAGTGCACTTGCATTAGCTAATCATTTTTGTGTAAATGTTGCTTTATAAGAGAAAGAAAACAAGTACAATTAAAATAATGTGTATAGTAAATATGCATGTATGCAAATAATAATATTTATATAAATATGTTTATAGAAAAGAATGAAATTAAAAACTAAAAATAAGTATACATCATAAATGGGTGTTTATTCAATGACTAAAAGAAAATTCACCTCTAATAATTAGTAAGCTAAAATGTGTAAAACATAACATTGTCGATTTTTTTATAAACAAAAATATTAGTATATATATACTGAAGATGGTCTAACTATCATCAATACCAACTTCTTTATTGGACAGAAATGGTAATAATAATAATAATCATATATAATGCATAAAGAGAGATCGAGGTACCCCACATGCGTTGATCAACTAGATAAAAAAACTTCAAATCAAACTAAGAGAATAACCAACAGAGACAATCATCAAATGATCACAATTAGAAATAGGACATGAAAACAAAATTAGATAGGTAAATAAATGAAAGAAATGAACAAAACAAAAAGATATTACATTATTATTATTACTAAGAGTAACCCAATAAAGTTAACAAAACAAACAGGAAAAAGTGAATAGCATTTAAAGATATCAAATAAAACTTAAGAAAGAAAAACAAGATCACAATTCAATTAAACATGAAATGAACTAACACGAAAGAAAATTATCCACAGATAGAGATAAGAAGAATTCAGAAGAGGAAACTAAACTAAGAATGAATCACAGTTTAAAAAAAACAATTACATCTTCTTCTTAGGAATACAACAAGTAAGTAAACAACGGGATAAAAATATAAAAGTAAGAGGAGGAAACACACTAACTAGTTGATGAAAAGGATGAGTAGTTAATGATGCGAATAATAGTAACAAGAAGTAATAGTAACAAAGTATGCAATTTGTGTGTCTTCTGCATTTACACTTAGGTCGTCTATAAGATATATTATATGAGTGCTTTTATATATATAATTAACTGAGGAACAAATCATAAGCATTCGGTAAATGAGAAATCACAGACTAGGAAATGGCAACAAAAAAGCAGACTTATATTCCAATGGAAAATATTTTTAAAAACATCAACTTAGAGAGGCCTTGCGCAAAAATGTTTTAACTCAGTGATCATTTTTTAATCAAATGAATCCACCTTTGTCAGTGGAATTCATTGATCGCTTATAATTATAGGTGTTGGATAGCTGACATAAAAAGGATTTAAACCGGCAAAATATCTAAGAGAAAAACTAGAAAAAACGACAAAGTAAGGAAAGCACCAAATGATTAAAACAAAAACAAGAGAATACGACAGGTTGAAGACAATGAAAGTAAGAGGTCGAGATCAGAAGAAACATTTCCAATTTTTATGAAACAAGCATGCTGAAAGATATAACAAGCTATCAAATAATAACACATTTGTATGCGTCTACCATCGATAAAGTGCAGGACGAGGACGTTCAGCTCCTTCTTTGACTAGAGGTTTATGATATTCACGACCATAACGACTATGTATCTGTACCCAACACTGTTCACAATAATATTGAAGGCAAGTAACATTCGCGCAAAAAAATGGGGCAAATTTACCCCCACAACGAGTACCTTGACATTCATCACACATTTGATTATCCAAGACATATGGTTTAACTTCAACCTACAATAAAAATATAATACAGTAAGAAAAAACATATACGTTGAAGGCGGAAAGTTCCGTACGCTTGAACAAAAATAACCTACAAATTTCAAAAGTTAGCATGGGTGGTGATTTATCACATGTAAAACGAGACCCAAGCATCTCTGTCAGTGTTGGTTCACAACTTCATCCTGCTGTTTACAACTCTACAAGTAGCTTTAAATTTGCTCAATCGATATTTCCACCATACATCACACTTATGGTCAAATTTTGAATGATCCTTTAAATTGAAAATACTACCTAATTGTTATTAACACGAATCAGATAACGCTATTCACAGTGGCTGCCTAATGAAGTAACTCTAATCAATGTGAAACAATCTGTTTCGAAAAACCACCAATATAATCAACAGAAGTAATAAAGATGATTAAAGTGAACAGCCATCTAGCACAACAATATTTTTAAAAACCAAACATGATAAAAGTGAATAAACGCAAAAAAAAGATGTACAGCTTCAATTATTAGTTATTTACAGTGGGGCAACAGTCATCGATTAGCTAACTATATGATCAATGTATGAAATGAGTGAAAAAAGTTGCAATTTGTCACTTTGTTATCAAAAAAGAGCATCACACACATGTTTGAACATAACTCATTTATAAACAACATAAATTTTTTCCCACTTAGCTGGATTATTTTAATCTATCCTAATTTTCTTACGAAAAAGAAAAACACCTGAAAAAAATATTCACATAGAAAAACAACAGAAGAAGGAACTTATTAGAAAGTAGGGCTACGTCTAGATTCCAGACGAACACCTACGCATTCTCCATTCAAATAAACTTGCCAACCATACATCTATTAATAAATGCTGCTTATATTCAATGAAAAGAAATCAATAGGATTGGATGACCAAAAAACGGAGGAATAGAACTAGTCAGTAGGAAATTTTCAATCAATAGAAACAGTCTGACCACACTAGGAGGGAGGGGGAAACTGCTATTTTACGGTGTTAGATACGAAAATGAAAAAGGGAATGATAAATGAAAACTAACGTAGAGTTAACTATTTATAAAATTATCGTTAGAGAATGAATCATTGTCAATCAATAATTGTTATTTTCGTGATAGTTCTTATTATGTTGTTGAAATAAACAGAAACAACTATGATAATTAAACTATTTACAATAGTCTCCAAACGGTAAAAAAAACAAGCAGAGATAATTTGCCAATAACTAGAATGAGATGAAAAATCCAAATTAATATACAACTAAAACTCTGCCATTTCTTCTTTTCTCTATTAACTACTATTATGATGATAAATGATTGGATGAGGTACGTAGAATTCTAGTAATTAACAACTAGTCAATAGTCGATTTTGAGATACTTCTGCTGTATGCGTGTGGGCACTACTTAGTTTTAATCATAATAACAGTTAAACTCTTCTGCGATCCAAGCTGATAAATGAGTATGCTACCAATGGGTCAATAGGTTAGCATTGAATGAGCACTAATCTAGACAACTTGTTGTGTAAAGCTATCACCCTTCAATATCATCAGGGACCGCTATTTAAATGAACAGACATGAAAGACTTTAAAAAACCTTTACACAAAGTTGATTCAACAAGAAAACTATCCTAAATGGCCTGTTATCAAAATAGATCTTCTGGAAAGAGATAAACTTACTCGTTTATCAATTTCATTATGCTGTAATTGCACAAATCGTGCACTAATTGCAGCGATGTAACTTTGTTGATTTGAGAAAGCGACACGACCAGCACCTTTAGGATATTTCAATTCTGGATCTGTATCTATGCCAGCATAACAAACACCTCCATATAAGCGATCCATTATTAGGGCAAGTTCGACTATTTAAAAGAAGTTAAAACAAAACCTCTGAATAAACAAAAAATACTCATTGAGTCATGGAACAAAATGAGTTTAAACGAACAGGTTACTTTCATTCGGATATACATTGCACTTCTCGCCTTACTAGTACGACGAATTTAAACTCCCAACTTCATAAATGAAGATTTAAATCTTTTATTGACAGCACGACTTATTAATAAAAATTTAGAGTCAAAACTTCTTAAAGAATCTGAAGTCTTTGCACTTAAGCTATTGTACATGATTCACATTAAAGGTGACGCACATTCCGATATTTTAAAAGGAAAAATATGAAACATCATCGAAAGAACACACTTTGCACCAACCCTGAGTATAATGTTCTCTAGTTAATTTATTGACAACTCAAAGGAAAATCAATAGAATTTAACCTCTTCAACGTTAATCTATCATTGCCTACATTCCTGTCGATTAAGGTACAAAGGTCGTTGATTGAGCGATTCATCCAAGAAAGTTCAGGAACAATAACTTTGTTGGCAAGCGGGGTAACAGTATTTGTACCAGAAGAACGATTGTAGGATACCTTACAAGCGACCATATGATAAAGGCAGACTCACTGTTCCAAGTTCTCTACAGGAAAACCAGAAGCATACGAAAAGTAGTATCTTTGCGTCTCCAGTGTATTACTAAATTCGTCTATATACACAGCGAAACCAGTATCATATATACAAAAGAAACTTATCTAACCTATTTGCTTTCTGTGAACTTAACCTAAAAATTTTAACTTATTGAATCCCTATTCCGTTTTGCTGACTTCTAGACTTTTTTATTTTACAAGAAATTTAACAAATCATTCTCTCTACCGCACGATTAGACCCTTAACCCATACAGAGTTACTGTTGTTTTGATGTCCATTTAGAATGCGATTCCTTTTCAAAATTTATCTTACTATATTAAGAAACCACAGTTCTTTATCTAAATTTTATGACATTCTTAACTCACTTTTGATTCAACCTCTTAATATGAATAATAATCTTAGTGTTTATTTTACTTCCATTAATCGTTGTCAAAAAGAATGTATGTTAATATATGCGACTGTACAACTCTGAGAATGAAACTGCCGAGCACATATATCTTCACCGAACTATATTCTTGTTTCCAAAACGAAACTGGCAGATAACCACAAAAAGAAAACGAAGATATTGACAATGATGTTTTTCTAAAATGATGTCAATATATGAGTCTTCATTTCATTTGTTTAAATCTACACTACAAACTTTACTTTCGGAAACTTGCCATTTACGCTATATTTTACAAAAAGAGAGGTATAAATTGTAGGGTCGCTTAAAGATTATGATGTAGAAGCCAAGATAAATGTTACAGCTTGATTATCTTAGTATTTGACATTTATATTATAAATACTCTATAACTTTAATTCAAGACAAATACTTAACGAAGAGCTAGACACTTTAAAATGAAACAAATCCAGTGATTATTTAACTGACTTTAAACCTGACAGTCAATTTTTAATTACTAAGATATACTAAAATAAATGAATGAACGTAACATTGTCACATCTAAAAATTGAAATTATTCGAAGCTAATTAGTAATCGTAAATATTGAACACTAAAATTTTTAAACTACTTAAAACAGTGAAAAATTACTGTGGGTTGAATTTATGCTTACTTCACTATACAGCACTATACGAGTATAAATGAGAGTTAGCAAAAAAGCAATAAAATTTAATTGCTTGTTTTTTGTAGGGAGCTAAAGACTGAAAACCGAAATGTTTAAACGCATTGTTTTGATGGAGAGAGATTAAAAGCAACCAATTTTCAACCACTGAATTGCATATTGAAATAACTGTCTTAACTACTATGGTCTAGGCGACCAGCTCGAACATGAAAATATGCCACTCGTATCCAAGTATACTAAACGAGACATTGTTGTTGGAATATATTTCTACATATTTATTTTAGTGAACAATTATCTTCGAAATTTTTCTCGTTGTAAAAATCAATGGTTTCACGATGAAACCAGCATTCCTCGGTAATCATTTTCCAAGCTTTACTAAAAACAAGATTTCATGCACAAAGAGTAGTTGTCTGGTTTTATCCATAATCAACGTACTGGTATTTTATTTCGGAGTTGAAGATTAACACAGCTAATATGTAGTAACCCCATCGTGATTTGATTAACAATTGATAGATTAAAAACATATAGTGTAAAAGGTTTCAGTAACATCACAGCTTCGTTAAAGATATATATATATATGAGGACGTATCTTTAGGGAATCAGAAATAACGTATATTTTCTCTTTGTTCACATTACTTCCATATAGTTAATCGGATAAAAAACAATAATGAGATAAATACTGTATAAAAGATAATGACTAAGCTTCTTGTTTTAAAAAATCGAAAAAAAGGTTTTAAGGTCAGAAATAGAAAGGAAAAAAAGTAAACTTCTGTCTACAAGTAAGGTCATTTTCAGGTCATGCCAAAAATAGGAGGGGATTTGAAACTGTTCACAAAGACAAGACAAGTGAGGAGAAAGAAATCCATCCAATAGGCAGAGAATCATGTATATATATATATATATATATATATATATATATATATATACAAAATTATTATTAAGGATGAAGTTGCAAAGTGACTGAATGCAGTTGGATGAATGGGAAATCGACATATGAAAATATCCTTTTTTATTAAAAAAAAACAAGGAAGGGAGTTTTCGTTTTTCCATTCACCTTAATTTTAATAAATATAGGTCAAATATAACGAAAACCTTTTATATTCATCAGTTTTTTAAAATTTTTAAATATTTATTTAGGTTTCCATTTAGGAAATATATTAATAATATATTGTACGAAATTTAGAAGACTTTATTAGTTAATTGAATAAATCATTTTAAGGAAAAGATTAGCGCTTTTGGTTGTATAAGAATTACAATATTGTCAAAAGTGACAGACCTTTTTAAATGCACTTTGCCATAAATGCAAAAACTGGATCAGAAAATCAGTAGACTACAAGTAGTTACTATAGATTTAGATTGCATCAATCTTATCCGTTTCGTAAAATACTATTTACTTCAGGTAATATTTTTGCGCTGCCTCGGTCTCCATTGTCGAGACCTTGGAAGTCAGTCTTTTCAGTTGCACATAGTTTAGCGTTTTACTTTTTCAAAATTATATGCACTTCTCATGAGGAATCATTTAGACAGTAACCTGGTGGTCAGAAAACATCAGAGGTCGCATACATTCGACGCTTTCACCAACACAAAGTCAACGGTCGTCTATGACTTACAGCGTCCCTGTCGTCCTCATTGAAATGCTTGATTCACTTGAAAACTGATGTTGCTTTTAATACGTTACTACCCTATACAACTCTAAACATAAAATGCATTTCTTGATTTTTGTTTACCAAGTGGCTCAATCAGCAAACTTACTGGACGGACCATGTACATATTAATTATCAATTATTATGTTCATTAGATAACCAGCAGAATTGATATTCCATGTATTCATTACGTTATTCCTTATGAACATCGATATTAGTATCATTCATATTAACCCACTCGTTAAATAAAGAGGTAATGAATGTTTTCTGAACAACAAATATTTTTCGCATAACAAGAACAAGTTTACAAAGGATTTGTTTCTGTACATGGATTTTGTTTTTAGTTTACTTTCTGCCTATAAGTTCACAAGGTGATTCCCGCTATAAATCTGAATTTGTACACTTTTAGATCGCTATAGACAGTCGACTCCTTATCAACTCACCTAATAGATAATTTTCATAACAAAATGTGTAAGGCATGGGATTGTGTATGTGGTTACCAAGTCTAGGAAATTATATAAATTAAAATGTGACTCAGTTTTCGAGTAAAAAATTGCACACTTGAGCAAGGCTTTTTGTGGACTTGTAGGTAGAGAATAATTGGAACATGGTTGGCCTACATATAGATTCTTCTGTCGGTTTTATCTAAAAATCCAAAATGTGTTTGGACTTTTATACAATTATGATTCATTGCAATATATGCAATTTGAATAACTTATGTGAATATTTGATACGGATATGAAAATGTTAGTTTCACATTGTGTATATGCACAAAAAAGACAGACTGATTGGTCAATAGACAAACTTGATGAAATTTTGTTAATTCAATACTGTCTACTATGAGTCACTTTGAAAAAGAATAGGGAATGAATCAAACAATGAAATTACTTTCATATTTGATATTGTGTAGAGATTTGTGCAACCTGAAGATTGATTTATATGTCACAGATTGATAGCAGCTAGAGAATCAATAGAAATAAACAATAATTGTCCTTGGTTTCGTAGTTCCCTTCAATTAATGGTAGTTATTCAGTGATGAAAACTAAATGCATAAGAATTACTCGTTGAAGATAGCTTTCTAAAACTCAAATGGATAAAATGCGATTTTTATGAAGTATAAATGTGGAAAGATAATAGATAAAGGGATTATCCGGTTGACAAAGAGTTGAAACAAGCTACAAACCACATTTTTCATATTATAATAATTATAATTAATAGGAAATATTTATCATACTTTGATAAGATTATATTGCCAACTCATTGGTTAACTTACTAGCTCTAAGTGGACGGGGAACACCTCCAACAAAAATTGTTTTACGAGGATCTAATGGTTGTGAACCATCCATGACAAAATCGGAGTCCGCTAAGTTCCATGGTCGGATTTGAACCTAAGAAGATTTTTTAAAAAGAGCTTATAAATAAAACAGCAAACAATTCGAACAATTAAAAAGTAACTCTACTCTTGTTTACTTGGTATTATCAAACATGCCGTTTCACAAAGTGAATAAGAACGTTGTAAAAAACAATGAGCAGAAAAATAATCATACCTATTGAAGTTAGGGCCGAATTAAAAATCCCAAATTGATTGAAACTTGCTTAAAATAAGGAAGTTAACTGTTTGACAGTATGAAATACTAGAAGCTAGCAATGTCGGTTGGAAAGTTTAATGGTTCGGAGAACAAAACGCAAACGCTGAAATAGCGAGTAAAAGTGTAATTAAAAGAACCGAAAACAAAAATTTGAATGTTTCAGATCAACCAGTTCAATAGCATGATTCATCAGTCAGTCAGTAACAACGTGGAAGTACAAGCAGTAATCAGAAACATTAGGGTTTGAAGATGTTATTCAAGGAGTATAGTCCAGTGAAATAAATTTGGAAAGAGAAAAAAATGACATGAAGAATCCAGAAGACTAGAATTTGGGAAAACATAAAGAGTGGATGTACCTGCGCTATTGCAAATGATTTTGAGCCATGTCATTCAAGGTCTCTAACCATCGGTCGCTATCGTCTCGCGGATCCCAACCAAGTAGTCTACACCTACCAACATGAATCAGTCCACCTGTGGGTGACTTCATGGATTTGTGCCACGTTTTGGTCTGGCCACCTCTAGCTTTCTTCCAACCTATTCCTACACCATAAAACATCGCACGTCGGGGTACCTTTGATAACTCTATGTTGGAAAATAAAATCTGGTAATATTGATAATGAATTACCGAAAACGTTAACAAAAGTTGAGTTTATTAGAATCACTAGTTTGGAAAATTGAACGTAACGGCAAAGAACTGATGTGAAGCTCAATTGAATAAGATTGATTCAAAACTGTGATGTTTCATGAAACAGAAAAATTTGTTTGCTAAAGTGAACCGGTAGAGATTACTTAATGGCCAACTGTAAACAGGCACTTGTTTTCTAGGGGTCCGCGTGATTATTGTAACTAGTGAATAGACTTTGAATGATATAGCTCAAAATCATTTGCAATGGCGCAGACGCATCCATTCTTTGTCTCCCTCCAGATTCTGAGCCTCTGAATCTTTCATAACTTTATTTTACTATTTGTATTTTCTCCTTGAATAGTATCTTCGATCTCTAATGTCTTCAGTTACAACTGATAATGTTACTACCTCTACTATTTAGGATTTGGCCGGAAAGTTTATCGTTCTGTGCCAATGGGGTATGACAAATTGAACTAACGTACATACGTAGCAGGTTTTGCGTTGCAACTGACTTGTTCGTTCAAGAAACGTATAACCAATGTACCTCTAAACAACTAACTACAATACAATCTTTCTATTCAAAAACAACACATAGACATATCCAACTTGATGCAAATTAAAAGGAAATGATGAATTTGATTAGATTTATTTGATACGAAAAGTAGACTAAATTCAATAACCTTATTGATTAGACTGATTAATTGTTAGATTTTGGATTCTTTGTACTAATGCCGTAAGGTGAAAATTTCACAACCACACCCTTCCTTAACAATTGAAAACGTTAGTTGCTGGAAACAAATGGAATAGCTTAACTATAAAATAGTATATCAAGGAACTAAAGATCTTAATTAATTAGTTCATAGTAGTGAGTGAATCATACTAATGATTTTGACAAGGTGAAAAAATACGTCTAGAAAGTTGATTCTCAATGGTTGGTTTTCTCTGACAGCGCGATACGATAAAGATTATTTCCAAATTCCGTGGAATCTCATGAGCCATTACTCAAAAAGCAACTTATGTCTGAGGTTTTAAACCAACAGAATATTTTGCTGTGAAAAGAATGGATGCAACAATAAAATATGTAATTTCACGAGACATATCTTGTCATACATAATTTTAGATAAAACCGCATGAAATAAACCATACAAGGGACACTATTTTTCGACCTGGATACAATGTGGTGTATGCTATTTATGTTGATAAGCATAGGTAGTATGTAACACCAATCAGAAGTGGAATGCCTGGCAGAAGGTTGAGAAGATCGAATTGAAGAGAACAGGAATGTAGACAGAGAGTAAATGCAATAACAACAGGAATGAACGAACCATAAAGTTTGTAAGAGACAATTGGTGGAAGATGTGAAAATAAAGTACTTAATGTATGGTATTCATATCTTATGAAGACATTGTATTTTGCATTGAACAATTAATTGGTTTTCCCCCACCTAAATTCTCGCTCAGTACAATAGTACTTCAGATGAAAAGTGAAGATTACGTCATGAAGTTAACCACTTCAGACAGATTTCAAAATCAAAAATAAAAGGATTTTCACGTCACAAAAAGATAGGGTTGAAACTCGAATAGCTCAGAAAAGTTTACTGAAGAATTCGACCAATCGAATGATGTATATGTCGAAGAGTATACAGTACTAAATTAAATAGCTACCAATTCTACTGATACCCTTCGTTTCGGAACATGCATCACACAAATAAAAGTAATCTTTAGTGCACTTTGTACATCTTAACTTCTAAAAAAACTATCCATGAAGACACAGTAACTGCAATGTATCTAACCAAGTTACTTCACTTATGCGCATATGTATACCATCCTGATAGACTGTAGATCTTTAATGGTCATTACGCTATGAGAATGCACGACAGATCTTCTGAACAAGTAATAAAAATATGTGGACAATCCAGCCCCAGATTTCGACTGACAAACAAATAGTTAGGGAAAATACAGATGATAAAAAATGAATCGGTCGACCGGTAAGCATTTATGACTATGATTATCGAGCCGTGCATTTTCAAATCAAGCTATTGAGGAATTGTGAAATTGAAAAAAAAACATGTGAAAAGTGACTAGCATTTGATCATAGTCGTCTACGAAACACTGTTCGTGGATGACGAAACAACTGTGTAACCGAACTTGAGGTAAGCTATAGGGTATTAGGTACAAAGAAGTCGATTTATGTTGCTATACACCTTTATTGATTGAGAGGGTTAGGATATATATCACCACCGCCTACCCTGACATCCGATTTCGGTTGATATAGGAGTAGGAGGAGAAAAACAAAGGGCAGCTAAACCATTGTATGGAGCAAATCTATGAAGTAATAACTGCTGATCTGAACATTGGTATGGCGACTTCCTGGTTGGAGTACGCGCAATAATATTAAATGATGGATGACATATGGCATGGTGAATTTTAATGATATATTTGCATTGATTCTTCATATTGCTATAAATCTCAGGTGTCATAACTATCTTAGGTTTCGATATTCAGTGCAATTGGAATTATCGAGCTTACATCTCATCTTATTAATTTTATTTCTAGCTGTGCTGATGTGAAGTGTATCAAATTGGACTGATACACAATACTTCCAGGTCCTACATCGATGGAAAACACCTGACACTGCAATTTTCGGAATTTCACTGGGAAATTTATAACCGTGACGGTTTAACTACTTAACCTTAGGCATAAGAACACTACTTTTATTTTATTCGAACACATAAATATTGGTAAAGGGGGGCACCAAATATATATGCGCAACACATAAGAACACTATAGGTTATGTTTATCAGTAGGGTAGTGGAAAAAGCATTTTACGAAGAATAATGTAGTTCAATTAAAGTCAATCAAAGTTTAGGTTGAATTAAAATAAGCTGATTAAGATGACAGCATAAAGCCGCAGACTTATTTTTACAAAAACATCAAGACAATTGTACAATTCATCAAATACACAAATTAACTTGGCGTTTAGTAGAAGTGACAAATCGTTTTATATAACTCACATAAATAAACATAATAACGAACGAAGTTCAGATCATATGTATCTATGAAAACTTACGGGTTTATCTTTCATCGTAGGTGATGATACGCACCAATAGTATTTCCCTTCATCAACAATACAAGCATTAATAAGACTTTGAACAGATCGTTCATCTTGGAATAGCAGAAAACAATAGCCTAAACGAACACAGAAATTTAAAATAAACAGGTAATCTGTGAAGGTAGCACTGATATATTATTATTAATGAATTGTTCTTTAATGGTATAGGTCTACGGATCAAAATTCAGCAAGTACTACAGGTTAGTGTACAGAACTATGAAAATCAACGAATATGATGTGGGATTTTTATTTCACGGACCTAAAATGATTGAGTTAATTTTTTTTAATTAATGAGAACCAGTTTTATCTAAAGAAAAATCAATAATTCGTGTAAACTAGTTAGTTCACTTTACGCCAGTGAATGATGTAGATTCTAATCACTGACTTCAGGTATGTGATAATTTATGTTCATAAGGACTAAGAGTATCAAACCGTAACATGTCATCAAAGTGTAACAAAACTTTACTGAATCCCAATTATATTCATTGTGACTTATTTGGAAAGACTGAATATATAGCTTCAATGTATTACTTATAATATCCCCTTTATTTTCTCTTCAAATATTGACTTTACATGCGATGAACAATGCGTCTACCAATTTCTTAAATAATTAGAATTGATTGAAATCTTACTAGGGACTAAGATATTTTTTCTAAGACCATGATTACAACGACACAAAAGCTTGAAGAGTTATTTATAATTATTAGTCTTTCATTAAGTAATTACTAATTGAATCCCTGGGAATTACTATCCTCAAACTTTAAATGAAAAAGCTTTTGAAAGGAGGGGAAAAAGGATGAGGTACACCTTACCTTTTGGTGGAAAATATGCCTTACTTTCAGTTTTATGGGGCCAGTCAACTATTAAAGGACCAAATCGACGAAAAGCAGTAGTTATTTCCTCTAAAATAGAATCGAAAAATGTTTTTATTAATGAATTAATGGTGTACGCAACGATGTAGGATGACAACCAGGGTAAAGACGGTTCCGTATAACTAAGAGGAAAATACCAATACTACTGTTAGAAATTATTTATTATTGGAAATCAACTTACAGCAATACACAAACACTACAGTTATTCCATTTCGCGATCTTTTGTGGATATCAATCCCTAGCTTTATAAATAACTGGTCACTAGATAATTGTACCGTTATGTATATGTTTGGAAACTGTCAAAATTAATGTGATTCATCCAATTTATAATACAACTGCGTAGTATAAACGGTCAAGACAATTAAAGTAGTAGATACTTTAAAATCAATTAACTGTTGTACGTTGACTCGACTGGTGAGTTTTTATTTTACTTTAGTTCTTGACCTTGGAGATAATAACTGGTATCATTTACATGTACATGTACCTGCTTCGTCATTCAGTTAAAGTAATTTCTAAGCCTCCTTAATCTTAGTGCTTGAACTATATTACTCGCGCCGTAAGTTGAGCGAGAGATTTGAAGTACTGGTATTTTTCACAATGCTGTTTTCTTTAGGGCCCATCTTTGAGCATTCTGGAGCTTTACACATCAGATCAATCAAAAGGTATTTTTGACCTGGTTAAAATTCAACGCAGCTGTGTGATCAAGTAAAACGATAATGACCCCAAAGATTCTTAATACCAGTAAATAAAGTGCTTTGTAAGTGTATATAAATAGCAAATTTCTTGATGTATTCAAAGACTGATCCAACGGTTTATGACTTATTATTTATACTAATGGTCTTAAGGATAAATAAGTATAAAGATGTTTTATTGCATACAAACATTTCCCCAACTAATACTATTACCATATTCAGTCATTAATCGTCATCTTCCTCATTCAGTTAGCAAATAGAACATACGTCGATTAATTCAGTAGGCATTTAACTGCTTGAAACCTAAAATCTTTTCCTTAAACTTTGCCATGTTCACCAAATATATATCGCATTATAATTAGGGCTTAGTGTATAACACTGTATAGAGCCTATGTGTAGTGGTGAAATGCACGCTTTTACAGGAAATCACTTTGATACTGAAGACTGACCTGAAGGAGTTTGGTAATTAAATTCAACGAGGTGTCCCTAGACAAACGGTTCAGACGTTGTCGTCGAGATGCTGTACTACAACCACTGATCAGTTACATATTCCTTCAAGGAAACGCTTAAACTTATAAACTATATCAATGTTGAAATACTAAGTTCCCCTTAACCTCTAATCAAGTAATCAAAATAACCGACTTTTCCAACAGTTAACTTGTAAGATGAATTCTAGCCCTTTAAATTGACTTAACCAGCCTTACAATTCTTCAGAAAGTGCTATTATACATAACAGCCAAAGTTACAACCGACAACATTAACGGTCGAATAACTCAGAATTAGAAATTTTGTTTTTCAGGACCGCAGTGCACAATAAATTTTCACATTATCAATCCATCACAAAGTAACAATCTCCCAAAAGTCATAATACATAGGAGTTACATCGAACAAAATCATCTACGATTCGTGTTTTTGATACTGATAAAATAAATTCACATAAAGCGCCAAGTAGAGGAAATTCACAAACATTACCATCCTAAAAAGCTGAAGTTCTGTATAAATTCAAGGATATCGTGAGTGAACGAAGCAACAATAACTGCCAGATCCAATGAATAGATCGGTAGTGTCTTGGAGTTAAAAATAATGATTGCACTTTTCTTAGAACACCTCAGAATTTCTCAATATACATACATCCTGGAATCAATGTTTAAGCTAGTGATTGAGAGTAACTACAATTGATATCTTTATCCATTTACTTTTAACTATCTACTCTTGATATTCTAGTTATGCAGCAAAATAAAAAACAACTTGATGTTCAAAATACAGGAAAAAATGGCCGGCTACAGAATAAAGTCTGAGTATATAAACCATGAGACTACAACCTAAATATTAAACTAATAGCTGGCAATGGAATTTTAGATCATCCATGAAGTGAAAGAGGCAAATGTCTAGAAATTACTCTTAAAACAATAAATAAGTCGAAGCTGAATATTTAAGGCCTTGAGTATTAAACTAGTATCCACGATACCAGTAAAGATCTTTGAAACTAAGAAGGATCAAAGGGAACCAAGGAATTCATATCGTAATACGTCATTACCTCCTTGATAAGGTTTGCATTTTAACTAAGAAAAAAGCGTGTACTTCGACTGATTGAAAGAAATAATAGTGGTAAGACTCCCTAGTCAAACAGGCTTATTTACCAGTATATAGACAAGGATTTTTAAGTTAATGATAATCCCCAACCATCTTTTCCCCCATCAAGCGGTTGTTTGAATTTGGATGAAATTAGAGTACCTAAGCTAATGAGCAACAGCAACGATGCATCTAATTAATATATACAAAAAGCCATACCAACAAGCAAGCCATGTATGATAAAGAATATAAACTTTTATACGAATAATCGTAAAATAATTGTCATCATTTTCTACTGAACAGTCTCCCGTTAGTTGAACCAAGCTGTCAGTAACAACGTAGAACTTCGTACGTACGTACGTCAGTTTGAGTTGCCATACCAAGCTGTGGCGAACATAATAAAGTAATTTGCATTAATAACCCACGAAAAGCAAAACATTACAGCTCATACATAGACATACCTTCGTCTATATCAGGTGGGAGACCTCCAACGAATACTTTGCGTGAAAATCCCTCTTCACGAGTAAAAATATTTGCAAACATAGAATACGGACTTGTTATTCCAGCTGAACCCATCATTGAACTCCCGTTGTAGCTAGAAAGATTATTAAAATTTGAACTTTGGTTATTTGAACCATTTATCATAGGTGTTGAGTTGTGTATCGACGATGAGCCTAAGACAGGTATTTGGCTCGCAGAATTTAAACCAGGTATTTGTTGGTCTACCTCTCCAAAATTAGATGACAATGTTAAATCATCGATCCCTCCCATAGATGTGTTATTTGCATTCGAAGAAACTAAATTAGAACCTCCGATGCTACTGATTTCAAAAGATTTGATAACTTCCATAAGCTGTTGATCTAACCCGTATTTGAAACTATCTAAGGAACTTTCCGATGTTGGGCTATTGAATGACAAGGTATTTGTGAAAGAGTCTCCAGAAGAACACAGAACCAGTGAACTATTTGCAGACGTCGAAGACCCAACACTGTTTAGTGACTGGATGACAGAGTGGTTATTGAAACTTCCAGCGCTATTATTTACACCGGAATCCTCACAACCATTCGGTAGAGCTGAGAGAGTGGAATTAACTCCAGTTAAACTACCACGATTACCATTTAGTTGAATACTACTTGTGGCAATGTTCATGAGACTTTTACCTAATGGTACTTGTTGTGAATTTTGATGATGTTGTTGCTGTTGCTGCCAATGTGCCATCATTCGGTGTTGGGGGCGCTTAGGAAACATACTATATATATTTGAAAGACCTGCCTCGTTTACTTTATTGTTACTAGTAATACTGACGCCGGTTGTAGATACTGATACAAGACCCACGGAAACAGCTGTTCGATTTAAGGAACCGTTAGCCATTCCACTACCAAAACCCACAGGTCCGACAATATTTGGGATGTTCTGAACGTTTGGCTTATGAAGTGTTTGATGAGCTGACGAATTTTGAGACCACGAAACCGTATTACCTTCATTTCCAGGAAAATCACAAACTGTAGGGGGATTTGAATCAGTGACAGGATTACTGCCCAACTTTGCTGAAACACTGGTGCCGTTGCTGCTCCATGCGTTGGAAACCATGTATCCAAGTGCAGAGTTTGACAGCCCATTAGAATTACTCGACCACATACCTCCTTTATTAACTGCAGGGTAACGTGCTGTTTGATGAGCTCCAGTGATTGGGCGCTTAGCTGCGATAGTTGCAGTAGTGGAAGTGCTGCTATGAACAGTGGGGAAAATGTTACTACAATGACCGTCATTTAAAACACTATCTTGATCTATTTCTGTGTTAGACACAAGAGACGTAATTGTGTCACCGGCAAATGAAAAGCCATGGTCTGCAGAAGTAACCCCTACACAATTCCGGTGATTCCATGCATTACTTGATACTCCGAATTCAGTTGATATGTCTAAACTGTCCGACTCAGCTTGCATACACTTCGTGTCGCTTTTTTGATTCATACCTGTAAGCGTATCAGTCGTAACACCAGATTCTAATGCTGCTCTCATTAAACGATAATCCGCACTGGGATTGTTAGCACGCAAGCAAGTAGGATCTGTTAACTGGTCAACAATAGAAGTCAAATTATGTGTTTTGTTTAGTTTATTTCGATATTCTGATTCACACAACTGTCCATCAAGGCGACCATACGCAAGTTTCCCGAAGTCAACTACATCTGACGCCGAAGAGATCTTATCCAAATGTTCTGAGTTTGATTTTATTAAACACAGAAAATGGTTTCTGTTCAGATCATCAGAGCTAGTTACACATGAACTGGTCAACTGTGATCCAAGAGATAGTGAGTCACAAACTTCTGTTAAAGGTGTAGATACTTGACACCCCTGACAGGACACTGGTGTTAAAATTATGCCAGAGCTATTTGGGGGATTACGGGATAAGTCACGATCTTTTCGAGCATTCTCAAAGGTTTCAGGTGTAGTGTTACTTCCAATTCCAATATCAGAAAGATGATCGAGATCAGAGCGTACGACTTCTGACATTCGAGAAACGGTCGTACTATACAAGGAAAGGTCTGAGGAAGTGATGTGGTCTGCACTTTGGAGAGTTGGTCTACATGATGGTGACTTCAAAAAACTTTTTTGAACGGCAGAACTTCTTACCAGTTCGATTTCCCCATTCATCTATGAGAAAAAAAAATTTATTCGACTACCGTGATCACTTTACACAATATAGCACTAATAATATAACAACAAAATGCATTTCAGTTAAATTACAAAACTACAAAAACAAGAATTACCGCTGCTGGCACGTATCCAAAGTCTTAGCGGTAGGGCAAGTAACGAATTGCCCCTAGCGATGGTGCACTTAAACAAGCGATGTCCAAAGATCAACACTTATTATGTTACTTAAAAAAGTCTTGCTTCTTGTCATTTTCGAAATCGTAGTGTTTATCTATGCCAAAACAGTCTTATATTCATTGAAAGGATGTTCCAATTCTTCAAGTCCTTTAACTTCAAGACTCATGTGACCACTACAAACTTAAGTTTATTTCATTCCTTGGTCTTGATACTGTTAATGAAATCCTGCAAATAACAAGCTGAATTTTCTATACAACCCTTCATTTTGAAGCGAAAAAAGAATACGATGAATCATACTGTTGGTTCATCTCTCCGAAATATGCATAACAATATCGTCAATGCCTTATACTTTAATACCCTGAAATAGCTGAGTGCATGAAGTAAGGCATCCACCTTGATTGAAACTACTTATTGTGTTTTTAAGTTCTCTTACCTCCCAATCGATTTCTAACTAGAGGCTCTACCTTATAGAGACATGAATCATTTCTCTTCAGTTTCACATTTTCTATAACCTTACTAATATTCTATATCGCAAGCATGATTTTAAATTAAAACTCATCTCAGATGATACGCACACCACTCTTCCGTCTTAATCCTTATCAGCAAGATGGTTTCTGAAGACCATCTGGGTGAATCGTTTAGAGGAGCTTGTTGCAAATGCAGTCAGATTTCATCTTATTTATTCCTTTTTATCCTTAGCTAAACATTTTAGATCAGGTGACGAAATTCCGATGCTTGCAGTGGAATGATGTGAGATATCTACGAAAGCAAAAAGGTGTTGATCAAATGAATTTTCGAATTCAATGCCGATGGATCGGTAAATGTGACTGAATACAACGAAACACCTTAACTAATTGTATTTTGGTGTATGTTATACTGTGGTCTGCTTGGATGTTATTGGCACTCTAATAATAGACTTCGTTCTAAAATTGCAGATTTTTCATGGTTTAACTGCTTATCTATAAGATCTTACGTGGAAGTCACATTATTGTCTACACTGAATCATCGTACTGTAATAGTCATCAATATATGATGAACATATTTAGGCTTTATATAGAACAATTTATTGAAAATGGATAACATTTATTTTGCATAAGTATGACCACGCCTGCAATGCCAAGCAGTGCCATCCGATCAATCAGTTTCGAACAAATATTACTGTGTCCACCATTATTGGAAGTCTATTTTCCAAGTTGTCTCATCTTCAGCTTTGATTATCGTGGTTTAGATCCAATGCCACTACAATCCAATCTTCACTTATGTAGTGGATATACCTTCGGTGCAAACGATGTAGTTACAGACAAATTTCCATTTGGTAAGTTTCTTCAATCGCTTTAACAGAATCAACCATTTTAAAGCAACTTAACTTTGCAGGAAGTTTGACAAATTACGTCATGATTTTTTATCAACATCTCTTGAATTTTAGCTGAAACTGGTCAGAACATGTGAGAACAATACGCCGTTTTAATGCACTCAAATAAAAATTGTTCATTCTTACCCAAACAATATCATGCCAACGTTTGAAATACATCCCTCGATTTATTCCTTCAAGTATTCTATCAGCCATCAATTCTATTGCATGTTGCTGATGACTTTGAATGGATAAAAGCGGTGAGGAGAAAGCTCACAATATAACTAGACGTAATGAAAGTTCTTTACGCCATTTATAAACATCGAACCATCTTCATTTTAATCTGACGTGTATCCCAATTAAATGAATTAGCTTATCTGTCTATTGTTTTATACGACAATTTGGAGCAAAATCTGTCAATCAACTCACTTATAAAACTATTATACATTCCATTTTGAAACGACGGTCTACAACATTCGTTAGCCTGTCGACTATTACAACAGGTCGTGCTGTCATTTTAAATCTTGATTATTGCCGTAGCACGTTTTATTAGTGTTTATTCGGAAGCAGGAGCGATCTGAAACAACAGCACAACAGTCAGAACTGGTAACTGCCTCTGAAGTAAGAATGCGGTGCACTGGCACAACAGAGATATATTTGAAAATTCAAAGACGCGGTCGTATTACAAAAAGGGAAAAATTATTACAAAGTGGTTTAATCTATCGTTCTGCAGGTTCAGCTTCCGTAGAGCTTGTTCCTCTTCTTGAGGTGCGTTTACTCTTTGTTGTCCTGCAATAAGAAAAACGGACTTGTGCTAGTAACATCAAACGTAATGATTCTTGTTACTGTTACATTATATGGTCTTAGAATTGACGCCCTTCTGAATGACCTTCGGCCATCTGCAAGCCGGTAGTATGGTATAACAGCTTTATCGAAACCGCTTGTTCAGCGACAGACACACCGCGTAAGAGAAACTAACTTGCATTTATTATCACTTTGAATTCACGGTACAGTGAAAGCTTATGCTAAATATACTACCATCGACTATTTCAAATAATCTGAATTTTGCCCATCAAATAGGTCAACGAACAAATTAAATTCAATCAGTTAAGCCTGCTACCACTGCACCCTAGTTCATCAATATAATTACTCAGCTCGCTTCACGGGGTGGTACACACCCCATTACATATCGTTATTGTGCCAAGCCCTTTAGGTCGTTTCTGAAGGACTCCCTACTTGCGATGATTAGTTTGTTACAAGTGTTAACATCGTGTAATCTCACTTATAAAGGAACAAAAACGAAGTACTTGGAAGACAAGTGTTTTTTCTTATGAGTTCCGTTATCTGTTGTAGAGCTAAACTGACAATCTGCCTCCGAATTCTTAATATTGTCATTCACCATACAAATTGTATTCCATCTTCATAATCTCTGCGTTGACATACTTTAGAACGTGTAGAAAGACTGGATCTTGTCGAATAAGAAACTTCATTCAGCATAAACGCATTAATATTTATTCGCTTTCCGTGAAAGCGTTTAGGAAGACCTTCATTTACCACCTTCATCACAGATACATGATTTATTGTTCAACTGTGTTAGTTTAGATTAAAATCCAAGTAAACTATATACACTACGGCAAAAATGATGTGTTACATTTCGTAAGTGTTGTTACGGATCGCTTAAAATATTTTCCCTCTCATGTATACAACGATAGTACTCACTGGACCTATCGATACTGTTCAACTAAACTCGGTCGCTAAGGGACACTCATTACCACCCTAAAAAGTCATGGGAACCGCACAATCGACTGCCTACTACCAGTCGACCTGCATCTATGGAGCCTGTCACCCATCAACTACTTAGGACAACACAAAATAACATCAGCACCAAGTTAATTTGAGTCTCTTCTTGTTTATTGCTTGTTAGCTTTGTACTCTTTTGCACACTATGTTTACTAGCAATTAATATTATTTCTCCACTCGTTACCTTATCTACAACCCATATATTTCTATACTTTTCCGTCCGCTTTAATAAACAACTATCCTACGTTACATCCTTCTTAATGCTTATACTCTAATTGGTAAACTATACTTTATACTATGGTCAATTAAAGCACTGCATCGATGCCTTACACACAGTCCATAATTTGTAAGTGCCTGATAAGCTTGTAAGATGGTACTTATAGAAATGGTGTTTTCCAACAGGTTGTGAAACAGAGGATTGTGTGAGGTATGATATACATCCAAAAATAAGCTTAAATTTTATATAAGAAACAATCGACACTCCGAAGTTTTCCATACTGATACGAAGTACAATGTACGACATTTACGCTGAAAGTCGAAGGGAGTACTTGCCATGCAACTGGATATTAACATATCCATATTCCTAACTACACATGTGTTCGTGTTTCTTAGTCGTTTGTGTTGCGAATTCTATCCATAATTTAGCTAGTTTCTTTGTAACATCCAAGTACACCATGTGCATGAGATTTAATGGGAAAGTTGAGATCATATTAATCGGAAGTGCTTCTAAAATTGAATAACCTTTATGGTGAACAAAGCGATCCTGCTAACGAAAGCTGTCATCCATTTGCAACGTATTTTCACCATTTGGTGAAGTCATCTTTCTATCAAGCCGTCTACCAACTACAATACACTCGGTACAACCTGCCTTTCCGTTGTGATTAACTGTGTATCTAACATCTGGACGAGCAGTTGCATCATATACTACAACAGACGACTTAATAGCAATGTATTTATTGAACTTAATACTAAACAGACCTACGCTATACATTTCTTTTATTTCAGAAATGGTGTGCGCAGAAATTTCGTTGAATTCCATAGATCTCTAACCTCGTGGCAACGATCCGTCCTAATACAGGCCATAAATGTTGACTAGAGTTCCTTGAAATAAAAAGTTCCTCTACATTGATTTGCGAATATAAAGTAGCAAAATCACAAGCATACAGTCATAATTCAACATATCTTAGCATATTGGTTATCAATTCGAGAGGGTAGTAAACCCCACTGCTGATGAGACTCGGTCGAACACCTGTTCACGTCCGCAGAACATTTCTGATGCTGCTAGATAAGTCTGGAAGATAATCTCGAAAATCATTCAGAATCCAGTCAGCATTTTTAATACTCAGACAAGTTTTTGTCATTAAATTCATCAATATATTGATTTGCCCTTTACGATCTACGGACTTCTGAGAGCAAAAATTAACGTCATGACATCCTAAAAGAAATATATTAAGGAATCCACTTCTTACACGCACCCCTAACATCCAGGAGCCTTTCAGTGTTGTAGCTACTGGGTGTTGTCACAGTTAATAGAATCTCGTTCCAATCAACGTCTATGTTGACTGCTATCAATTCAACATAAGTCACTGTTAAAGTCAATTACCTTTGATCGTGCTTCCATTAGCAAACTTACTAAACGAAAGCAAGTTATGTTCTATCATGAAAGCTGTTCGTGTTTTATTCCACCATCTGTTATAAGTCGATCTATGACAACCAAAAACTCTTGACAAGTTCACAGTTGCCCTTCGTCTACGAGCTCTCTCGCCTACTTTACCTGGATTCATCTTACAGGACAGACAAGGTAATTAGTGATAGTAAACATAAAATAT